CCCGAGAGTCGCCCTGCATGACACCCAGACCCGTTTTGCCTGGATGGATATCCAGCGAAACAGCACTGAGAGTGGCGGCTTTGCCCGGTGCGCACATAAACAGCTCCCGGGATCCAGGCAAAACGGGCCCAAAAGGTGCCCCGGGGCCAAGTCCCACTTACCTGATTCTTCATTTCCGGCCGTTGATCTTCGCAATCTACGGTCAGAAGTTGAGAATTCGGGGGTAAGTGGGCCTAGAGCCCCGGTGCTTCATGAGAGTAGCCCAGCAGGACACCCAGTGGATATCCAGCGAAACACGACCGAGAGTGGCGGCTGTCTGAAGCCACATGAGACCCAGACCCCTTTTGCCTGGATGGATATCCGGCGAAACTGCCTGGATGGATATCCAGCGAAACTGCCTGGATGGATATCCAGCGACACAGCACCCCGCTGGACGGATATCCAGCCAAACAGCAGCCCCGTACTTGCCATGAGTCACTTATATATCCAGCCAAACAGCAGCCCCGTGCTTCCCCTGAGTCACTCGTATACACATCACGGCTCTCAAAAAATGGCTGGAAAACGTGCTGGTGGTGTCGCACAGCACTTCTTCCTTGTCAATACCTAGCTGAGCCATCAAATTGGCTCCAAACCCGGAATGCCCTTACGGCCTGTGTCTCACGCCTGAAGCGCCAAGCCTTCTGCATGTAAATAGATTATCCCAAAACTGCCATCGCTGCAAGGCCCGTCGATTATAACTGGACCTTCCATCCGATTTCAATATATTCCTCTAACACTACAGTTCCCTGTGTTGACCAGACACCTTCAAGTTGCTTCCTGATTCCTCATTCAGCTGGATTACCGACTCGTTCGACTAATTCCGGATGTGATTAGCATTCTCACCCTTTCTATTTTACATGGCCGTAAAAACTTTAGTGAAGGTGTAGTGCGGCCCAGGTAAATCAGCCCCAAACTTCACGTCACCTCCCCGAGGTGACTTGCTGATCATATTCCGGATGTGATCAAACCACCAGTACTTGGCCCAGCTATCGGCCGCGGGAAAAAATAGAGTAGAAACGTTTCTAGTCGGATGAATTTGGGCGCTCCTGTAGTAGCCCGTACGTTTCCTAAAATCGTGGCGCGTTAACGGGCACGACTCTATGAAGTACTCGTTTAACATGCCCGCCATTACCGGATGAGACTGGTTAAACACCTGATAACTTCTTTTTTTTTTTTTTTTTTTTGGGAAAAAACACCTGATAACTCGTTCGTTATGCGCACTTACCTGCGCTTCCGATATTCGTGATGAATTTTCGAATTAACCAGATAAATTCTCGCTTGCTCGGTATGGGAATTACCAGATACATCACGCTTGCTCTGTAGGGGATAAGATATTTCGTATGTTCTCTTCTCGACGTGCGTATTGTTTTCTTCATCTCTCTCTCTTCTCCTCTCCTTATTTCAATAGATTTGAGTGAGCAATTCAGGAACTGGACGACAGGCACGAGCTGCTCTGCCAAGATCTCTTCGGATGGACACATGTAATGGTCATGGTTAATCAAGATTGCTACCCATCAAGGAGCTGGACGCCAAATGACCTCGACGAAAAGAGCAGATAATTACTCCGCAAACCAATCAGACTGGAATCAAACTTGTCTTCCTGTCACTTTGTCATGCCTGCAAACAGCGGTACAGCAACTGGCGACATGCGCCCACACAGTACTCAAGATATCGTAACCAGATCTGAATTCTCTTCAACTGGCTATGGCGACTGGGCGCCCACACAACTCACTGTTCGCATTCTGGATCACCCTGGATGTCCCACACGCAACACTCAGTATCATACACAACACACACACATACTATGCTACAGCTATGGCAGCGCTAGCTGCCTCTACCCTATCGCTACACTACACTTCTCTGCCCACTTCGTCTTCGGGCGCACTGCAGACCGCCTCGCACAAGCTGCTAAGGCAGCGCTTCCGCCTGGCATCCGCAGGAATGAATGAATGAATGGACGCAGCCTCTTGATTTGTACTTCTGTGCTGCATTGGTCTGCCCTGTGTCCCTGGCCCATGGTGCACACAGTTCCCCCC